TGTTTATAGAAGAGAAAGTTAACTTACTGCCGTGAGTAAATCCCAACATGTGAGTTTTTCTACTTTTTTAGATCAAGAAAACATTCTCCAACACAGTCTGTAGACAGGAAGTAGCAGGGTCAGCCGAATCATGCTGGCATCTCTTTATCTCACTGCTCCCTCACGCTTCTGTTCTCTCTAGCGACCATAAATGCATGGTAGACGATTTATTTGATTGGATCAGTTTATATATATATATACAGAAATTAGTCATGGGTTCGGATGGAACTGTTTCTATGTGGTCCACCATGATGCCCATAACGGGGCCTGGTACAGAGAACCCTATCACTTCAGTTGGATTGATTTTGGTACGTTAACTATGTTTAGATGTTGACCTTGATTGCCCCCCCCCCTCTGCTTGTAGGTTTTATCTTGGTAAGCACAGCGGCAGGCAACTCACACTGCAGCACCACATGGGCTCTGCAGATCTAAACGCCACCTTCTACGGTGCCATCAAGAAGGTTTGTATCCCGTTCAAATATTGCAATTGTGCTGAAGAACAGTTAACCTGACAGTTTAACATTTTACGTGTTGCATTGATTTACACACAGAAAAGTTCAAATCAAGTGTCATGTGAATAAAACATGTAAAAGGCAACTTACTTTGCCAAGAATTGTCAAGAGACAAAACATTGTTATTTCTCAGGTGCAAATAACACACCACAAAGAGAAATGGGCGCAACTAAATGCGGTTAATAATTTGAAACAAGAAAAAAGTAATTTTACTGAGAATGTGAAAATGTCATGTAATTGGTACTGGTAGATTTAGGTAGAAGTCATTTTGTTTAGTGGTAAATGTTATCTGGTGTAGATCGAAGATTGCATTACTTGAGCGACACGAAAATGTACATTTTTCAGGAATTTGAATTCTCTAAAACATCATTTATTGTGCAATTCTGAATCGTCACCTAAGTTTTTGATCTTTTTTCCACGACTTTTCCAAAAGGAGGATGGCGCAGAGGTTGGAGTGGGCGGAGCCCAGGTTACAGGCTCCAACACCAGGAAGCACATCCTGCAGGTCTCCACCTTCCAGATGACAATCCTCATGCTCTTCAACAACAGAGACAAGTCTGTCTTTGAGGTACACAACTTATTACGTTACTGCCCTCTAAAAGGAAGCATTGTGTTACGGTTTCCATAGTTTGACCAAAAATGATTTGCTGCGCAGAGAAAGACAATCAACCTGTTGATTGAGGGTGGACAGTTTCAGCTGGCAATGTCACATCTAATAAACCATTTTCAGCTTTTTTTCTGTAACGTCTTGGTTAGTGTTTTATCATGCTCCCTCATTTGATCTTTCCACCCTGTAGGAGATCCAGCAGGAGACCGACATCCCAGAGAGGGAGCTTGTGCGAGCGCTGCAGTCTCTAGCCTGCGGGAAGCCCACTCAGAGAGTCCTCACCAAGGAGCCCAAGTCCAAGGAGATCGAGAACGGCCACGTGTTTACAGTCAACGACCAGTTTACCTCCAAACTTCACCGTGTCAAGATCCAGACAGGTACACAAAATCATGAAGTGGGAGGAGCTTAAAAAAAAAATACAGACAAATTACTTTTTTCTTTTACTACACAGAGTGCGTCATTTATTTACCAGCCTAAAACTTCAGAGACAACTGTTGCTAAGTTACTCTGAACATTCTAAGTTTACATAGTAACACACTGACACTGTCTTACCTCAAGTTATAAAGCAGACAATGAAATGCCAGATCCACTGTAGTAAATGTAGAAAAAACACTGACTCAGATCATTTAAAGCACTTATTTTGGAATACATGTTTACTTTCAGTCACACTTCTTGTTCTTACTTTTTTTCCTCTGTTGTGCTCCACCTAGTGGCTGCTAAGCAAGGGGAGTCCGACCCGGAGAGGAAGGAGACGCGGCAGAAAGTGGACGATGACAGGAAGCATGAGATCGAAGCTGCTATTGTTCGCATCATGAAGTCCAGAAAGAAGATGCAGCACAACGTTCTAGTAGCAGAGGTCAGTCAGCCACATTGTATTTAGTTTTTAGTGACTACATGTTTTAGTGTGATGTTCTGATGTTGTGTTTTTGGTGTCTCCACAGGTCACGCAGCAGTTGCGAGCGCGGTTCCTCCCTAGCCCTGTAGTCATCAAGAAGCGCATTGAAGGACTCATTGAGAGGGAATATTTGGCACGAACACCAGAGGACCGCAAAGTGTACACTTACGTAGCATAAAAACACATGAATTCAATGAAAGCTTACATCCAGTTGAGAGAAACTGAGAGCCTTGTTTTTTGTGGACTGCTATGCGTTTGAATGAACTTGGAAGTGCTTTCATCATTGATTCTGGGAAACACTGGGAAGCTTAACTTTTCTTCCATAAAAATGTGTAAAAAGAAAAAAATCATGCAAAAGATGGGGAAGTTTTCTAGCAATATTAGAGTTCTTCTACTGAGAGAATTGAAAGGAAGGGATCTAGTTTTGTACAAAATCTTGTTCCTTGTGGCCTTTGGAGAGAATCGGGCGAGCCTGTTTGCCAATTAACCACGTGCTGTGGAGGAACGAGCGTAAACATGTTAAAGCAAACATGCGGCTTCATGGAGACCAAGAAAACATTTGAATTCACTCCCCCCCTGTTTTAAATGTTGATGTCAATGTGTTTTCTGTTTGTTTTTTGTGGCACTTTGGTGGCTGTACAGGTCGACCAACACTCTTGGCCTTCTTCCTCCCAGAGGATTTTAATTTGTAAGAAGAGGACAAAGTGTTGCCTGGTACAGACCTGGTTTACAACAGCAGTCAAAGACATTTTGAGTACTGGAGAAAACATGAAGAGTGCTTAATTTATGTTGAAAATATGTCGTTTTTTTTGCGGTTTTAATGTCCGGTTTGAATTGAGTGCACCTCACATAAACGAAATATTTAATGCCATTTTCAATATTTTGGCCAGGTCTGTACTAGTGGTTAGAGATCAAGAGCTGTAGCTTCACGGCATGCTTTTATCTAGTGGATCAACCAGGGGAATACGACACATAAAAGCTCCATAAACGGTGTGTGGTCTCTCATGGAACGTTTTTCACTTCAGGCCTGCTGTATGTTCGGGCAAAAATATTATCTCCTCTGTTTGAGTGGATGGTTCCTTGTGGTGCAGCTTTCAAAGAGGATTATTTTTTTCTCATTCTCGACTGCATTTTCCTCAGATGGAACCAGTCTAGCACCATGTTTTAATGTGTACAAATTGTAAAATAATTATTGTACTCACTGCAAAGGTGGATTGTACAGGGCCTTGTTTTCATCATATTAAATGTAGATTAAAAAAATTACGGGATGGGTTTTTTCTTTTTTTAACATCTTTCATGTGAAGGCCTTGGATAACATGAGGCCTCTTTGACCATAATTAAAGCTTAGCTTAGTCGGAACTTTGTAGGCCTTTTCAAGTACATTGTTTACTACATTATTTTAAGAAGTTAGTGAATAGTTTTCTTTTTCACTTAAAATGTGTTTACACAAAGTGGATTCAACTCTTTATGGGCTTTCTCTAGGCTGCTGGTCCTCTTGCCGTTGATGCATATTGTATTATACTAAACAGTGTTTCTAATATTTACCCTCTGATATAAATAAGAAAACGTTTTAATAAACAACCCAAGCACCACGAACGTATGTCTTTCAAATTGTTCAATCAACATCAATCTAAAACAGTTCCAATAAAATTTAGATTAGTGTTAGATGTTAACTGTATTGAACTGAAATAATGATATAAATGGACAACATATGTAATATAACCCTTAAACGGTTAAAATATCCCTATTTTAAAACAGAGCTTATTATAACAATATATATCAAATGGCCTGCAATAAACAGTATAAAAAAGTTACAGGATTAATTAAAATGTCATAATGAGCTGGGCTTTAAACATAAATTGGAATATTTCAGTGTCTTGGTTTATTTGAATATTAGGTTCCTATTTTATTTCCTAATTTGTAGTTTTATTTTACTAGGAAATCCCATTGAGATCAAACGTCTATTTTAGAAGACAGACATGGCCAATTAAGCAGCTGTACAAAAACAAAACACATTATAACATACATGTTGTAGATATTCACTATGAAATATACAGCTGTTTAACACACAAGAAAAACCAACCACATGACATCCATCGCCACATGCTTCATGATGCCCTTAAACTCTAAATATTTCCATCACTAAATATAAATGTTTCAAATGTTTTACATTTTTCCCCCCAGATTATTCCATCTCAAAGTGCATAGTAGGACAATTAAACAGTTTTCTCAGACATTTACAAAAAAGCCACCGCTGAGAAATCAATTTGCCTAGCTGTACAGATTTAAAAAAAAAAGACTGAATAGGCTATAATAAGATACCCATGCACCATTGGTCACTTTGAGTCTCTCAACACTAAGTAGCCTAAGTAATTCATTTGTAGGATGTATTTTATTGAACTGGGTTAGTTTCTGCTGGTTATATAAACAGACTGAACGTATAATAAAATAAACTGAGTGCTGTCTTGCAGATCCTGTCATAACCTGGTCAAAAAGAGGTGTGCTCCAAAAGCGAGTTTAATGCTCTTAACAAGGCATTAACAAACAATGTCTTTAATTTCCAGGGTTTAGAGCCCCCCTCCACACGTCCCCTACACTTTTAAATCTGTCACTCCGTCTGGCCTGTGTCCTTTGTCTTCTCATATTGTTAGACACATGCCATCTGCTCTCTGTTATTATCAGGCAGAGGGCTTTGGATTGAAAGCAACTTGTGCTGCTCCCTTTCGCCCACACTTTAGCATAAAAGCCTCAGTGAGTAACTCATCAAACACAGTCCAGCATGTATTTCCTCTGGGAGCTTCTTTAGTTTTAGGTTTTTCTTTACAAAATATAAAGATTTGTACGTATGATTTGTACACATAACGGCGCCTGGTGACGTCACAGTCCCGGCAAAAAAAGAGTGCCTCTTTTTTTTCTGGAGCAGCAGACTGCGGAGAGAAATCCGACGGGATGCTTTTCACTCTCAGCCCGCCGCACCGCTCCTCTGACTAACTTCTGTGCAGATGGCTCAACTCAATGTGGAAGAAAGTAAAGCTACCGGACGATGTTTGGAAGAGTGGCGCTGTTAAAGAGGAGATCCTACGATGAAAACGTGGACTCTGGAGCTGAAACTGCCGAGTGAGCATATAACTGTTTATCGGCATTAGCTAATGTGGCTAACGTTAGCTATCCAACTTTTTCGTAGGCACAATGGAAATTAACGTTCACCAGGAGAATACATCTTCAATGGGCTAACTAATTAAAGTAGAAGCAACTATGTGTTATCCCTATTTGCTCTTAATTATGGGTGTTTAAAGCTGTTTAATTATTTAAGGTGTTTTCTCATAAATTTACTTTTATGTTAGCTCACAACAGATAATGTGTTGTCATGGTGACCAAGGGGCACGTTTCCAAGCCAACCACCACAAGATGGAGACAGATTTTGGTCTGAACTCCAGCCTAAAAAAAGTGTTTAAGAATGAACGTAATCACTCGTGTGTTTTTATTTTGTGTCTCAGATCTGACTGCAGCCTGATGTCATCCTCTGACAGTAAGTACTCTTTCAGTCAGACAGAAGCTAAAGAGCACTCTGTAATTTAACCCTCATGACTCACATGGAACTTTTTTTATTATAGTCTTTGCAGCTTCATGCATATGGCATACATGTTGACTGTTATTTAATTTCATTTTGTAAACGGCCTCATCTATATTGTGCAATTATATTGTTATTTGACTATTCCCTGTTCATGTTCCTCAAACTTGACCCAGTTTCAGCATGGATTGGTATATTATATAACACTTTCAATGGGGGTAAATTTTACGCAGATCAAACACTGTAAACAGTTAAGTAGAGTGAGGCTGCAGTTTATAGTATAGTAGTGGAGATTAAACAGGAATAGACTGGAATTGCCGTATTTCCAAACACAGTGCAGTAGGGATGTCCCGATTACCTTTTTTTGCTCCCGATCCGATTCCGATCATTTGATTTTGACAATTTGCCGATACCGATTTTTCCCGATCCGATCTTTATGCAATGCATTAAGAGAAAAAAAAGAAAAAAAGCATTCAAGTTGTCCCTTAAGGTTATTTTTTTATTTAAATTGGATATTCTATCCAACATGGATATAGCTTCTTTCTTTCACAGCAGCATTGGATCAGTTCAGTTGTGAAGCATTGGATCAAAACAAAATAAAGCTTATCAGTACTCGTTAGCTTACTGCTACAATTAGACACTGCGCCCTGCCCACTCTGTTGCCAGATTTGAGAGAAATAAGCAACCAGGTCTATGAAAACAAGCCCCAAAGAAGCAACACATACATGATGTTGTGTAATTTGAAACCAAAACTAAGGCCTCAGGATGATCCTGAGGCCTTAGTTTTGGTTTCAAATTACACAACATCATGTATGTGTTGCTTCTTTGGGGCTTGTTTTCATAGACCTGGTTGCTTATTTCTCTCAANCTTGGCATTGTTCTTGATTCTGGTTTACAGTGGACAAAAGCAAATAGACAGTATCGTAACTAAAATGTGAAGGAGCATAGCTGTGGCGAGAAAATGTACAAAGTATGTAACACCAACCACTTTGAAACAAGTCATTCAGTCTCTGCTTTTGTCACATCTTGAGTACTGTCCGGTCATATGGTCATCAGCAGCAAAAACACATTTACAGAAATTACAAATAGCTCAAAACAAGGCTGCCAGACTAGCTCTCCACTGTTCGAAGCGCACTCACATTGGAGTTATGCATAGAAGCCTATCAGGGCTTCCGGTTGAGAAACGTCTGCAATCTCGTGTTATCACTTTTCAAAAAAATGTCCAATTTAACAAAAAAACACTGTATTTTTATGATCAAACAGTTTACACAAGAGACGAGCATGACCATAAGACTAGACAAGCTACATCAGGCCATCTACTGGCACCTAAACCCAGGACACATCTTCTGAAATCTTCAGTGACTTATAGAGCTATAAAAGAACTCATTGCCAAACTACCTCGCTGAAATTGAGTCCAGAGCCTCTTTCAAGAAGAGATTGAAGGGCCATCTACTAATGACCATGTGCCCTTGTGAGCTGTGAACCCTCATTTCATTTGATCTCATGCTTTGTACTGGTGGGTGTCTTGTGCACTCATCCTTGGCTGAGATTGATATTAAAAGTGGATGAGATTGTTGATGATGTTGGAAATTGTTGATGATATTGTTGATGTTGTTAATGATGTCAGGGATTATGTCTTGAATGTTGTTGTATTGTTTTAAGTGTCGGACCCCAGGAAGAGTAGCTTTTATCAAGAGCAAAAGCTAATGGGGATCCTTAAAAAACATAAACATAAACAACGGACAATACAAGATTTTGGTTTGTGTTTTAGTATTAAGTTAAGTGCCAAAAAACGCACTGATGCTGCACTGTAGAGATGTCCCGATCCGATCACGTGATTTTCAAAAGATCGGAATCGGGAGAAAAAAATCGGGGATCGTTTTTTTTTTTTATATAAATACTTTTTTAAAATGTTGTATTCAATGTTACAAAACAAAAATGACCATGTTCAAGTCTTATTAGTTTTGGTTTCAAATGAC